GATTCAAATCCAAATTGATGCCAATCAAAATACATCAAACTTGAAATGACTTGATTTTCTTTAACCTAAATCAAACTTGATCTGAACTTGAAATAATCTGATTGTTCCTTGATCTGAACCTAACCTGATCCGAACCTGAATTTATCCAAATCTAAAATGTTCCAATGTTTCTTTAATCGGATCCTATTAGACCCAAAATAACCCAACTTTAATCCAATTTTACTCACTTATTTGTCATCTTTAATTAGCCCCTACCCAATGTATTACATAAAAATCCATAATGAAATACATTCATTCATATTAAAGGATTGATGCATTGCTTTTTTTTTTTTTAACAAAATAAGTAGTTTTCTCCTTATTTGTTACGTTTAAGTCAACTGGTCAATGGTCAACTCGGCCAAAGCTTGGTCAATACAATCATGCCTTGGGGTTGCCCAAACAAGGCACACCTAGATAGCTATGTCATCAACCCTAGGGAATGGCTCGTCCTTCATTAAAAGAAGGACTTTTCTAAGGTCTTATAGACGTCCAATCAAAGCATCATTTTAGAATTGACTACCTAGCATCCAATTTGTCTGGGATCATTAAATGTAAATAGCAACTAGCCATATAAACTCTTTTTTGAGCTCCACGCAAACATCTTATCAACTGTCAGCTATCTCAATCAAGTCATCGCATTTTGGCCTCACATATAAGGTAATTAGAATACCAAGTACATAAGAAGATAACCATTACAACACTTTGAGTTTTCCTTTCATTGAAAACTTTCTACACATACTTCACTATTCCCAACCTCCTTCCTTCATTCTTTTCCTCCTTATCTCAAGAACTTGACTGACTTGAACATCGAAGTGTACTTTAAAGTAACAATTTTGGTGGACACTAATAGTGTTTTATAGCTACAGGTTACAACTGCCCTTCCCTTCTGTTTCACCTTCTTTCTCCTAGCTAAGACAATCCCAAAAACACCATTAACACTATTATTGAAAGTGTTAACAGAGTTTTAGTTTGATTGAGTACTTTTTTTTTTCTTTTTTGATTTAAAAAAATGAGTTTTAAATCCAACAATTTTTAAGCAAAAGATACATAAATGCATCAATTATTGAATAAAAATGTTCGAGTATAGATAAGACTAGTAGTTATCAACTTTATAAGATAAGGATTGAGTTGTTCATTAATTTAAGGTTTAGATAAGTAGAGAGCATAAACTCTTTATTCCTACACTTGTAATTCTATATGGATGAATTAACTATCATCCTAATGCTTTTTATTTCTCACTACTTCATCTTTCTTCTATCCTTATTCAACCATGCATCCTAACATTCATTATCCTTTCACTACCTGATCTTTAACTATCTTCTACCATTATAAATCTTACATGAAAGTCTTAGATGATTGCTTTTGGGGTGCCTTAAGTTTCAATAACCATTTAATCTAAGGATTTACCTATAAAATAATCATTTTTCTTAATTATCACACATAGCTAATCAAAGGGTGAGAAAAAAATTGAAAAAATCAAAAACTAATTCAAAATCATAGCGTTCAAGATTGGTTTAGATCGGATTGGTTTTTCTCTTATTCAATTTGGTATAAGTTCAAATGTTTTATGTTTTAATTCAGTTCAGTTTGGTTTGATTCAATTTTCAAATTGAAAAGTGAAAAAAAAAATTCAAATCCAATCAAATTATATATTTTTATTAGTTTTATATATTTTAAATTTTTATAAAATAAAATATTAATTATTTTATATCTAAATTTATTTAAATATATGTAAAATAATATGAAAATAATGTTGTTTTAGACAAAGATACAAATTGTGTGCTTAAGGGGTACAAAACTTGAAATGACTTTTTCTTCTTATGCGGTAGTAGCTTTCCCTTATACACCCTGTAACAGACCGGAGTCTTCAATATAAAGAGAAATTGGCTTCAAGGTTTGCTGTAAATGCATCCTTTTTTAAGGCTTATTCTGCCTACCAGTTATGGTATGCAAAAAGAAATAACAAAGTAATTTAAACTAGAATTACTTGAGTTTTAACAAGATTAGACGTGTGAAATAATCTAACTCAACATAATCCATTTTAAGCATAGTTTGGCATTACTATTGCTCTTGGAAAAAGTTCATGTATTTAAAAAGTCTTGTAAAACAATGTAGTTTGAAATTTTTTAGTATTTGGTTGTCACGGAAAGTTAAAACATTTAAAAAAGAAAGTATATCAATTATAATTATTATATTATAGTGCAATTAAATAATCAAAATTCAGCGTTATGTAAGATGCATGAAAGAATACATAAAACTTATTGTTTTAAATATTGGGCGCTTAGATAATTTTTTTTTATTATAATTGACTAATTACATGATTATAATAAAAAGATTTGTACATAAAATGTCCCATCTAAAATAACATGATATAAAAAGTAAAGAATAAATTCTATTTTTTATTTAAGTAATTAGGTATTGTTTAATAGTGCCAAAAAATAAAAAAATTTTAAACTTTAATTTTAAAATTTTATAAAAATATATTATTATTTTTTTAATTTTCTAAAACATTTAAAATTGTTTCAACCTAAAAAATAAATAGTTATGTTCTCATTATATTTTTTCTTTTACTCAATATATAGAACATGGTAATGCTATTTAAAAAAAATACAAAAAATCAATCTGGGGAATAATTTTAACCCACAAATGGTGGTTTGCAAGCCTCAAAAGCATCAAGCTAGATGCTTTTGCATTGAGAGAAAAGCCGGGCTTTCAATCCTTTTTTTTTTCTGTTTAACACATCGGGTTTGGTTTATAGTTTTGTTCCAAAAGCAGCTTTTGGAAATCCAAGCGCAATCCCAAACAAATCCTTAAAATAATTTGAAACTCATAACAATCTGATAGGTATTAGCTACAACAGTCAAAAACCTTAAATGGCATGACTTGGCCCAATTTTACTTGATGAAATAATTTGATCCGAAACCGGCTCACACCCCTCAATATACATAGTTCTATACCACTATAAAATCTCTTATTATGTTTGATATCAATGACTCTAACTCAATCACGAATTAAAATAAAAAAAATTAAATAAAGATATATGGATATTTTTATTTTTCCTTCAAAATAGGATTAACTTATATATTTTAAGATTTTTGTACTTATTTTTTTCCCTTTTCTAACTGTATTATTGAATTACTTTTACTTCTTTGTCATTCACGTTTCTAGACAAGGATAAATTTTTAATATAATTTTATTTTCGGTTTTTTTTTTTTTAAGTATTAGTTTTTTAAATTGAGTGTATGTAGAACTAGCATGCATGATTAAAATTTTGGTACGATGAAAACAAGCATGGATCCCGACATGCTTGTGAAGGATAATTGCCACACATGTTTAATTTCCATTAACTATAAATTAGTATCCTAAAATTTTTTTGATGATTTCCCCCACTATTAAGGAATAAAAGAATGGGAGAAAAAAGGACGCACATGATTTTTGCAACACGATGAAAAAGAGGGTTTTTAAATGGGGATAGATTGCGGTCAGGTGATGAGAAGAGGTGAGCGCAGAGAATTGCGCCTCTCCAAAAAGGTTTCAAGTTTGACTTGAGTTTTGCTTTAGGCAACCCCCTTATCGAGTGCGTAAACAGCCAAGAATGTAAGCTTGAGCTTGAAATTTGGATCCTTCCCAGTGAAACAAACAAACGCTACTAGCGGCAGGGAAAAAACCAATGCAAAAAGGCTAGTTTTGTCATTATAGGCTTCTAATCACTCAATTTGTAGGCTTTAATTGGAAGATCAATGTATATATATATATATATATATATATATATATATATAATTTAAATAAATACTTTTGATTGTTTCGACTATTTTATTGTTTTGTGGACAAAGTAAAATAATACTACTTGTTTTCAGAACGTGTGTTTGAAATTGGAATGGGCAACGCAAATGGAGGCTGGTTTGGTTTGGTTTGATTTGGTTTGTTACATTACTAGTGTTAGTTAATTCAGGATTTGCGAAAACTTATTAAAATGAGAAACGTTCCATTCTTCGATCAAAAGACCCATGCAATGAATTTGTTGTTGTTTTGATGTAATTGGTAGATTAAAAGGTGTTTTTGTTGTGCCCATCTGGACATTTGGACAGATTGAGGGTATGATCAGCAGTAGTTTGTACGTAACTACGCAAATCAAGAATCAGTAAAAAATAAATAAATAAATATATAATTAGAAACAGTCACGTAAGTAATATTTTTAATTTCAATTCAAATTTTAATTATCTCGAATATAAAAAATATATAAATATACAAATATATATATGGAGAGAGAGAGAGAGAGAGAGTGGGGTAGCGAGGAGGGGAATAAAAGTCCCATGTCCGACGTATATCTGATGTATGTGTCCGAAAGAGCAAATGCAAATGCTGTTTTGGCATTTCATACAAAAACAAAGAGGAGGAGAGCAGAGAGAAGGTGATACTGAAATCAAACATTCATTTTCATTTACGCAAATGGAAATGCAAGGAGGTAGAGCGCTTGTTTGTTGCAAGTAGCAGCCGCTAGTAGTGGCTGCCTGCTTTGCCTAGGCTACTTAGCTTCTACTTATTGGTTAGTGGGAGTGGGAGGGAGTATTTGGGGGTGGCTGCCTGCCTCTTCTGCGTCGCTGCCTGGTCCTCTCTCGCAGAGCCTTTATTACACCGCAAATATATATATATATATATATCTATATATATATATATATATCTATAATCAACACACCCATTTTCTGCCTAAACTCACTCACCCAAAATCATGCCACTATCTTTGAAATTTCAGCCGTTTTTCTCCCTCTGAAAAATTATAGCAAACAAACAAACAAGATGGCCTATTTCCATTCAAAAACTAGTAAAACAATACTCTTTTTCTGTTCTTGCTTTTGATCTCGAGTACTAGAAAAGAACAAAAAAAAAAAAACAATAAAGTAACGATGGGCGGTGTTGAACTTGAATCGACAAAGGTTGCTCCAATTGAATAAAGGGCCTTCTTTTTCATTCACAAGGTGTTTTTGGAAGGGACGTCCAGTTCATATATGGAGTTCGGAAGCAGCGGGGGAGGTGGAGGGAGTGGGTCTGGTGGGGACCACGATGCCTCCGACCCTTCCCGCAGGAAAAAGCGTTACCATCGCCATACTGCTCACCAGATTCAGAGGCTTGAAGGGTAAGAATACGGATGCCTTGGTTTCTTTGTTTCTTGTTAGTTTTTATTTTTTGAACAAGGATTTTGTTTTGTTTTGTTGGTGGAAACGTGAAGAATGTTCAAGGAGTGCCCACACCCTGATGAGAAGCAAAGGTTACAGTTGAGTAGGGAGTTGGGATTGGCACCCAGGCAGATCAAGTTTTGGTTTCAAAACAGAAGGACCCAGATGAAGGTCGGTTCGGTACTCGATTAGTCTGCTTTTTGTTTTTTCTTGTTTAGTTCAGTCGCCTATCTCTCCTTCATTCATTCGCCTTCCTTCTTGTTGCAGGCCCAACACGAAAGAGCCGATAACTGTTCTCTTCGTTCAGAGAACGATAAGATCCGATGTGAGAACATAGCCATCAGAGAAGCACTCAAGAATGTCATCTGCCCTTCTTGCGGTGGCCCTCCTGTCAACGAGGATTCCTATTTTGATGACCAAAAATTGAGAATGGAGAATGCCCAATTAAAGGAGGAGGTTTTTCCTATGCTCTCTCTTTTCTTCTTTTTATTCAGTATAAAATGAAAAAAAATTCAACTTTTGAGCGTGTTTTGCTTTTTGCACATTGCAGCTTGATAGAGTATCTAGTATTGCAGCCAAGTACATAGGTAGGCCAATATCCCAACTCCCACCAGTGCAGCCTATTCATATTTCTTCATTGGATTTAAGGATGGCGAGTTTTGACGGCCATGGGATTGGTGTTGCTGGTCCTTCCCTTGATCTTGATCTTCTCCCTGGAAGTTCATCCGCAATGCCAAATTTACCTTTCCAACCAGTTGTCATTTCGGACATGGATAAGTCCCTCATGACCGATATTGCCGCAAATGCAATAGAAGAACTGCTCAGGCTTTTGCAGACCAATGAACCTTTATGGATCAAGTCCACCACTGATGGAAGAGATGTTCTTAATCTTGAAAGCTATGAAAGGATTTTTCCTAGAGCTAGCACCCACTTTAAATCTCCCAATGTTAGGATTGAAGCTTCCAGAGACTCTGGTGTTGTTATCATGAATGGTTTAGCTTTGGTTGACATGTTCATGGATTCAGTGAGTTGTTTAAATTTAAACGATAAATCCCCTCCTTTTGGAATCAACAAAAATTTATTAATAGACAAATTTTTTTTGGCAGGACAAATGGGTGGAGCTATTTCCAACCATTGTCTCCATGGCCAAGACTATCGAAGTAATTTCATCTGGAACGTTGGGCAGTCATAGTGGTTCTTTGCAATTGGTAAAACCGCTAACGAATGGTGTTTTGTTATCTGTTTATTGATGTTTTATTTTCTCTTTTTTCTACACTAATTATTGTCTCGTGCAGATGTACGAAGAATTGCAGGTGCTTTCCCCGCTAGTATCCACACGTGAATTTTACATCCTTCGCCACTGTCAGCAAATCGAGCAAGGCTTATGGGCTATAGTGAATGTTTCATATGATTTTCCTCAATTTGCTTCTCACTGTCGATCTCGTAGGCTTCCTTCTGGATGCTTGATTCAGGACATGCCTAATGGCTACGCCAAGGTTGGTCAAGTTTATTCTTCTCATGTTGTGAATTAATCGTCAGTTGTGCTCAACTTCAATATTAAATAAATGGCCAAATGCTGATAGGTTACCTGGGTGGAGCATGTGGAGGTTGAAGATAAGACTCCAACTCATCGGCTCTATAGGGATCTCATTCAAGGTGGTTTGGCATTTGGAGCTGAACGGTGGCTTGCTACTCTTCAGAGAATGTGCGAGTGGTTTGCTTGCCTAATGGTATCAGGCACTTCAACCCGGGATCTGGGGGGAGGTAATTTTCAGTAATTCATGCACTCAGCTTTTAGTCCTCTTGAGCTCTGAATAAATTTCCAAATGTTTCAGTAATTCCATCCCCTGATGGCAAGAGAAGCATGATGAAGCTTGCTCAAAGGATGGTCAACAATTTCTGCACAAGCATCAGCACATCCAATAGTCATCGGTGGACAACACTTTCCGGTTTGAATGAAGTTGGTGTCCGGGTCACTGTTCATAAGAGTTCTGATCCTGGACAACCCAATGGTGTAGTACTTAGTGCGGCTACTACCTTCTGGCTTCCTGTTACTCCTCAAAATGTCTTCATTTTCTTCAAGGATGAGAGAACTCGACCTCAGGTATTATCAGATTGATCATTGTCAAGTATTTGTGACTGCCTTGTAACTGTATATATAAGTAACCTTCGTTGTTTCTCACTGTTACATTGCTTTCTATGTTTGTTCTTTCCTTTAGTGGGATGTTCTATCCAACGGCAATGCAGTGCAAGAGGTTGCTCATATTGCAAATGGGTCGCATCCAGGAAATTGCATATCTGTTTTACGGGTAAGGCTCTTGAAATTATTGAAGCATTTTCCTTTGTGTTGTCCACTTAAAACTTGTTGCTTTCTTTCTTCTTTGGTTCAATAAGATTTTATTTCAATGCTTTGTCGAATTGTTTTTTGAATAGGCCTTTAATACTAGTCAGAACAATATGTTAATACTTCAAGAAAGCTGCATAGACAGGTCAGGGTCACTAGTGGTATATTGTCCGGTTGATTTGCCTGCCATCAATCTAGCAATGAGTGGTGAGGATCCTTCATACATTCCATTACTGCCATCAGGCTTTACGATTTCACCTGATGGCCATCCAGACCAAGGAGATGGAGCGTCAACGAGCTCTAGTGCAAATGGAAACATGGGAAGATCTGGGGGTTCACTAATTACAATAGCTTTTCAGATACTAGTGAGCAGCTTGCCATCCGCTAAGCTGAACATGGAGTCAGTGACGACTGTTAATAACCTTATAGGCACCACTGTCCAGCAAATTAAGGCTGCTTTGAATAGTCCTAGTGCCTGATGATCTGGTTGCGTTACTGCTTTTACCTCTCTCCATCATCTTTAAATATTGAGATCAAAGGATTTCGGAGTCTCTTTGTGCTGGTGGTATTCAATGTGGGGGAAGTATTGTGGTTAGTTGGGACTTTCAATGCCCTCTCACCAAGAGCTGAAGCCGCTTATTTACTGCTTACTGCTGCTGTTGCTGTTTCTGTTGCTAAACTTCAGTACCATCTACACCGACTTGTGGTTTTAGTTATATTTATTCTTGGTTTTCTTTCCTTGGGGGGTTTTTACTAAGGCATTTTGGGTTTCTGTGCAATTTAATTTGGAAGAGCTGCTACCAATCTTAAGAGGAGTCAAGAACGCACCATACGTCGTCTTTCCTGCTGGACCGACCTCTCATCGTTTTTGCCTTTTCCTTTCTCTATAAGATTACAGCAAGAAAAAGAAAAAGTTGGTATGGTTCGGGTATTGACTTCTGTTCCTGTGGATCATGTTCTTTAATTGCATTGCAACAACAACAATAATAAAAAACTCTCTTCATTTTTCCTCTCTCAAACGTGCTTGCGTAGTCTGTTCCGAAGAGTGACTGTAAATATAAATAAATATATATATGGCTTTACTATCAATTCTGAAAAAATTAAAGCAAAGCAGTGACTTCATTCAGTAGGAAGATAAAATAGAGAAATGGGTACCCGCAAACGATGGGGGGCGGAAGGTTTGAAGCTCCATTAGATGACTGAGCGGCATCCACCTTCAATTCTTCTACTATGATATATATCCGTTGAGGGACAGATAAATTTTTTTTTTTTTAATTTGGTTTTTGGGTTTGTGGATTCGCAGGTGAAGGGTTGGGGAATCTGGAGTTTTTTTGTTGGCGTAAAGTGAAATCGGCAATTGCAGGCAACCGTGAGATGACTTCGACGGGTCAGTGCCGAAGGGATGAAGAAAAATAAAAAATAAAAAATCATCAGTCTACATAATTAAAAATAAAATTACCACATCCATAACTTAAAAGATGATTTCAATTCTGCTACATTTTGAACCGATATCGTACATCCTAAAAAAGTACATTGACTAAATTAGTTCAAAAGGACTAAATTGTGATTCTTGCCCGAATACAGAGACTGATTTCATAATTTGATAAAAATTTGCGACTTTCAACTAGTGATACCTAAAACGATTCACAGCTTTCTCCATATATTGATAATGCCATCAGCAAATGACTTAAGGTTCCCCCAAAGAGTTGACTTCTTGGAACTTTCTCCATCATCGCTCTGCACACTAGAGAGGTTCCTGGATAATAGAATTTTTCATTCGAATCATCTTACCGCAACTGATAAATAATGAAATGACAGAGAATTCATGAAAAATAAACAGAAATATGTAAATAAAATTTTATTATAAATGATTCAAATGGAAAAAGGAAATGCTAGATATCACGGGTCTAGATGCACCAAAAAAAAAAGGGTCTAGTAAAAGCGAGAGCCAAGCTTAGGTCTATTTATGGGCTACAGTGTAAGTTGTAGGTTTTCAATTGTAGACGTAAAATCTAATCTGCAAATGCGGTTAAGAAGTAGGACAGACATGCGCAGAACAATTTGCAATAAGATACATACAATATGCACAAAATATGAATGCAGTTCAGTTTCCTTTGATGCACTATGTCAAAATTTCTTATTTGTCTAAGACAAGCCACATGCCCACATGTGTCGTTCATATGTAAATTTTAAATACAGATTGAAACAAAATAAAGGGCAAGAGGCTATCAAAACCATATAGATACTTCATCCCTCATATACAAATACGAATATGAACCACTTTTTCTGGAATACTTCAAAAATAATTGAACTAAATTGGTAGACAATTTGAGTTATTGCACCAATGATATATAATGATATTTACATGCAAAAAGGTAAATTTTAATATTCTTGGTAAAGCTATTTACATGCAAACATTTTCTAGCTATTCAGAGCAAAAAAAAAAGTTTCCAGCTATTTATAGAAAATAACATCAAGCATGCATCCACCTTGCATGCAGGTATAGAAAGGTCAAAAAATAACATGAAGAGGAAGTAGCACTGAACTTAGTCTCAGGTAAATGAACTTTGATACCAGCATACACGAACATTCATAGACAGAACTGTCATAATTATCATCATCATTATTTGATGGTAATATAAACCTAGCACCTATACCAACCTCATTATAATCAGCCCAGATAAGTGAAAAACATCAGCACCACCATTGTCATCCTTAGATTCATGAATCTAGGACCTCTAACTACCCAGTCCATTCACCAATTGAGCCATTGTTCAGAGAAAATAACACATACCTCGCATATTTTTCCTCTTCTGGGAATTGTTGCTGGTGCTCAGCCTCAAGCTCTGGACTACCAGAATTTAGTAACTCTTTAGATACAGTTTGTTCCTTTTCATCATCCTCTGTATTTCCCATCTCAGTTTCTTCTCTTAGTAGATCACCTTCTACTACACCAAAATCTGACGGAACACCCTGAGACTCAATTTTGCACTCTTCTGATTCAATATGTTGATCAGAAGCTTCCACAATTTTTTGTTCATCCACAAACATTAGAAATTTATCAGAACTAGCTATCCCAGAATCCTCTAATTTATCATCCTCTTGTTTCTCAAGACTCTTAGCATCATCTTTCAGCATGTTATTTTCTTCTAAAACAAACTCACAATGACTGCCCTGAAAGTAAAATGGCAAAGTACATTACAAAAGGTATTTAAAAAGGTTCCACTATTTTACCAGGGAAATAAACTTTATATAATTAAAAAACAAGAAGAGAGAAGTTCTAAAAAAAATTATATTGAAAAGTAGGGACAGCAAGTTACAAGTTTGTCCGGAAAACCAATGGGAGAAGATAGAGAAGTTAGGGGCACATGGATTGTAGGACTAATGAAAGACATTCTGAAATATTAGGTTATTAGAGGTCTCATTGATATACTTAAGAAGTAGTCTTGTATGCATTGTTTCAGGGAAACAATTTCATAAATTGCCTTCATCTAATGACATGGAGGAAGACATAAGGAATGACAAAGTGCTTAAACACAAGCTTCCGCATTAAAGTAGGAAAATTGCAAGGAAAGGAATCCATATTAGTCACAGATGTAACTTCAATAAATTTGTTGAGTTTCTAGAGAAAAATGCCAACACCACTTTCAGTGCCAAAGTAGCCTTGCAACTAAGAGCAGATAGATTCTGTCCATTAGAAATACATTTCTGCATTTATCATCAAAGGCAAAGCACAGAGAAATGATCCCACTTACTGGAGTTTGGGGCATTAGAACCACTTCAGAAAATGTCTCCCCAGCTAAGGTATAACCTTGCAACACTCTGTCAGCCTCCAGTTGATTGTTATTGGTTTCAAGCATCTTTACATCATCCGTAGCTTCTGTGCAAGTGTCATCTTGGACTCCAACTGCAGTTGAGACCACTTCAACTACGGCAAATGATTTATCCTCTTTATTGACAACTTTTCCTGATATATTTTGATAACTGCTGTTTGAGGAACATACTTTAGATTCATACTCCAACTCTTGAAGGATTTTCCTAACAAAATAATAAGAGCCACCCACTTCTTTTTGAGCCGCAGTTACAGATGGGAATTTCCCGGCATTCATTGATCTATATCTGGAAAAAGATAATGGAAAAGTCTTCATTCTGTCCTAATTGAGGCTCTAAGGAATTAGAATTTTAAACTAAAAACTAAGCAAACTTGAGAAGACAATCTTAGTTTCCAATTGTTGAAAGAAAATTAATATACCAAGACAAACAGCTCCATCCCCCCGCACAATCAAAAGATAAATTGAATTAGGGTTAGAGGGAAAGATGCACCATCTAGATATGAAACTTGTTTTATTTGAATGAATAATATCTTTAAACTAGAATAAGTCAAAGGTAGGGAGAAGAAACTGCTTCAATTCAAGCCACATCAATGGCAAGAAGTGAGAGAGGATCCAGATCTGAAAATTCCTGTTAAGAAGTTGATTTTATCTAAATACAGCTAACTATGAAGTCTTGGCATGTTTTAATGTACAATTAAAAGTTTGCATTCCCAATTGCTGTAGTTTCCCTTCACTATTGCCACAAATCTATCCAGCATCATGCAAGTGCAGCCTGGAAATCAACACTAATAAGACACTTTGCCAATGTCAAAATATCGTGCAGGGGGTCTTACTTGATTTGCATGATTATGCTTTTTAACACATTTTATTTATTTTCAGAATGTAAAACGCAAATAAGGAAAAAAATTCAGTGAACAAAGCCCTCAAAAGTTCTTGAACATGAAAGGTGTTTTCTGTGAAGTTGGTATTTTATTAAAGAGTAAATGTTAGTTATCATAGTGAGTTTGTTTGTTTTAACTAAGGATGGTATACAAGAGTTGAACATACATAGCAAAATAATAGCTGACCCTCATTTGATCAACATAAAAGAATAATAATGGCAATTATCAACATTATTTGCAGTAACTCCACATTAATCTTCAAGGAATAACACACTCAAAAGATCAGGCAATTTGAAACACTATATCCCTAAAATGATATGGAAAAGACACAAAAACTACACGGTTTAAAATTTTGACAAAAACCGTATAAGGGTTTGGCAAAAACAAAAACAAAAAGCGTTTAATGTTTTTCATGTCAAATTGTAACAATGATTTTGCTGTTTTACACATGTTTGATGCGAAACTGACATGATAACAATACACAAATTGCCAACTAATTGGAGGTCAAAATTGATAAAAATGTAAAATTTGGGTACAAGAAAAAACACTCCACAGGATCAATAGCATTCGTGGATAATAAATAATATAAAAAGATAGTTGTATAACGAAACACTAAAGGAGGAGAGGAGAGAAAAAGGCAAAATTACATAAATGTAGAAAAAATAAAAAGAGAGAAGACCTGGTGACGAAAGATTCGATCAAAGCTCGCCGTTCATCCTTTGAGACTCTTTTTCGCTGCGGAGTGCCAGAAGGAAGAGAAGCGGCGTAAGATCTTCCACGCCGCACTATATTTCTTGCCTCAGCAACCAATGTGGCTGACAATGGAATCAAAAGTTTTACCAATTGGATATCTAATTGAACAAAAAAAGAAAGAAAGAAAGACTAACCAGGAGTTGCGGCGTACTTTGAGCAAAATACCCTTCCTCCTCTTACGGTCTGCATCATTCACATGTATTCATACCATGTTCAAGACAGGTGGTTTTTACTTGTAGGGTTTGATATAATTATACTACGGATATCAGAATGGGGTTCTGCGTTTTAACACAACTTTGAATTTGGTTTTGGCTTTTGGAAATTTGATTTTGGAAAGGTCTTACTTATCAGAGAGAGACAGAGAGGGAGGGAGAGAGGGTTTTACATTTTAGCAGTATTATTTTTTTTTCCTTTTTTATTAGAGTGGTGGCGGTTTTAGGGTTTTTTCTTTTTTTCTCGATGCTATGTTTGGTGAGTAAATTTTTTTTTATAAGTAATAATAATTTAAATCAAATCAGATTTTATATTTTTATAACATACAAAATTATAAATTTTTAAAATTTGATATAAATTTAAACTAAACTTTTATATAATTTAAATCGAATCTAATTAGTTTGATTTGATTCAATTTATCAATTTTTTAAATTTATTTTTTATATATTATTTTGATATATTTTTAATATATTTATATAAATTTAGATATAAATAATTATTTTTTTTATAAAAATTTAAAATATATAAAAAAATAATAAAATATATAATTTGATCTATTTTTTATTTTTTACTTTTTTTAATTCAAACCAAATTTAATATATATATGTATATATATCTAATAAAAATTTAATTTGAGCTGACTAAAAAAAAAATTATTCGAATCGAATATTATGATTTCAAATTAATTTTTTATTTTTTTATTTTACCCTTAACTTTTTTTAACTTTGCATTAGTATTCAATCCATTACCCGTAGGTTAATTAAATCGCTTTGTTTATTAATGGATTGATGTTAAAATATTAAAATGTGTTTATTATATGAATTGAACTACAATTGTTTTTGTATTTCCTCAATTATTTTTAATTTATAACATATTTATGCTTATTTTAATATAAAATAATAAAAATATAAATTTGCATACAAAATATTACTAATTTATAAAAACTAAAAAAATTATATTTAATATATCGTAGTTAAATTTTTTCTATAATCACAATTAAATTTTTATTATTGTCTTTTTGTATTAGTTACATATGTCATAATTAAATCTTTAATAATTCCTTAATAATTTCATTTTAAAAGATTAATTAAATAATCACCTATTTATTCAAAATAATTATTTATATGAATTTATTAATAATTTTTGTCCATAATAATAAAATATGTAACAAAAAAAATATACCATAATAGATCTTGAACCAAATTTGATGATGGTGTATTCCCCAAACATTATTGGATCGTATTATAAAATAAAATAAAACAAAACAAAAATAATAATAAAAGAAAATCAAACTCTTTTTTTCATTATTCTTTTCATTTTACATTTTTTTATTATTTTTATTATTTTTCTTTATTCTTTCTCTCCTTTACTTATTCTTTCTATTTTTTGAGAAATCTTTATTTTTTCTTTTTGAATGCCACTTTTTTTTTTATTTCTATCATTTATTTTTATTTTATTTTTATTTCTTTTTTTCTTTATTCCTCTTTCCTTTTCTCTTTCTTTAACTTATCTATTTTTAAAATCTCTTCCTCCCCTAAAAATAAAACATTAATAGCATTTTCCACTTTTCAAAATTCGAAAATCGATTATCGTGTTAGTAACTATCACTATCGTTGCTATTGACTGATAGCATTTTTAGCCCAAATTTTACTACTAACTTCTCTCAACATATTTTTTCACCATATCAACTTGGTTTTTCCTAAAAACCCCTTAGATTCTTCTAGATCTACAAAAATATCAAACAATTTTAAGCATTAGAATAACATTCCTCCATCATTTCAAAAGGTTCTATCTTTCAATATATTGTTCTTCTTTTTTGCCTTCCTCTTCACCAAATTTAAAGACCTAAAATAACCTAAAACAACTTAAACTAAACCCTCCATCTTTTTTTTTTTAGTTTGTGTTACTTTTTGTCTTGCTTTTGTATGGCTACTCTTAAAGGTGATGTGGAATACCATTATTTCCAACTGCTCCTTTATTCAATTTCTCTCATTTCTATAATGATTCTCAATAAATTCACTATCAGAATTTTAAGCATTACTGATGGAATTTTACCGATGAAATTTTTTCGTCACTAATCACTGACAAATTATCAATGAAATTTAAAAAATAAAATACTTTCACTAACAAAATAAAATCCGTAAGTAATCCGTCGCTAAAAGTCTAGTGCGAATTACCACCAATTTTATCGATGAAAAAAATCCATCACTAAAAGTTACTAATAGTTTTTTCAATAAAAAAATCCTTCAATAAAAAAAATTGAAAATCTTTTTTGATATTACCAACGAAAAATCCATTTTTAAAACTGTCGGTTTAAGTATTAAATTTTTTTTAATATTACAGACAGAATTTTCATCGATAAAACCATCATTGATAGCCAAAAACTTCAAATCTTCCCTTTATCAGTCACCTTATTTTCCCCTCATATTATTTCCTAATCCCTAATTCTTTTTTCCCTTCCCTCTCCCACTCTCCCCCTTTCCTCCTCCCTCTTTCCTCGTTGCCTTGCCGTCTTCACCACCATCGAAGTGCACCAATTGGTGTCAATGTGTCATTTCCCTTCTGTAAGTTTTTTTATTATTTTATTTTATATTGTATTTTATGTAATATATTTGTTGAGTTTAGGTTTTAATTTTTTTTGTTATAAATTTGTTGAAATTTGTTTGAGTTTTGGTTACCAATATATTAAGTTTTTATTAGTTATTTACTTGTTTAAATTTATTTGGGTTTTTGTTACCAATTTGTTGAGTTTTTGTTGGTTTATATTTGTTAAAATTTGTTTAGGTTTTGATTCTATATTTGTTGAAATTTGTTGGTCATATATTTTTGCTGAATTTTTTGTTGAGTATTAATGTTAAATATTGCTAATTGTTTTTAGATTTATTTTCAATATTGTTACGGATTTTTTTATTTGTTGAGTTATTTTTTTTATTTATGAAAGTTTTGTTGAGATTTGTTCAGTTTGTTATAGATTTATTAACTATGATGTGTTGGGATATTTTATATTTAATATTTTCTAGATTTTAATAATAATTATAGAAATTAAAATTATTTATGTTGATTTGAAGTTATAATTTATATATTACTAATAACTATCTCATTTTGAAGCAATTTATATATTATTAAGATTTATATATTTGATAGTTTAGTGAAATGTGATTCAAAACTCTGACTTCTTGTTGATATGCTGTTTGCACTCAATTATGGTTCGAAATCTTTTTTTCTTTATCTATTTAATTGGATGATTTTATATTGAGATGTTTGCACTAAATGTATTTGATAATTCATTACAAAGAATTGCTAATATTGACCTTTAATGTATTTTAGATCATGTTATAAGTGTGAACCTGAGAGGTTAAAAAGCTCTAAACAAAAGTTAAAAATCTAAAAAAGCCTGATGAGATAGATGAGCTTTTATCATGTTATATTACAAAAAGTTTCATATTTTTCAATTGTTGTTTTCTTATGTACAGGGAAAATCATCAGTTTTGGCTCTCTTTCAAAAATAAAAAAGGTATTCTACATGTCAACGCAGATACGAATTCACTAATGAGGTAAATGATACATCCTTTGATTTGTGCTTATTTGAATATACGGAATAAGAGACTATTTTTCATTGATGTCCGTTTCATGTCTCTGTTACTATTTTTCATATTTTTCTATTGCATAGGTTATAACATCTATTATTAATCATGCGAATTCTAATACCTGAAACTTAGAATATAACCCTGTGCAAACTACACTTAATCAGGTCTTTCTCACAGCAAACCTAGTTATTCTAGATCAATTGTCAAATGTGAACTACATTGTTTATGTTATGGGTTCTTTTTTCACTTCCTTTCCTTTTGCCCATCACTAGTAACATTATTGATTATTTGTCATAATATATTCTTCAATCTTTTAATATGTAATAAAGACAGATGCAATTACATGCCTCTTTAATATGGATTACACTTTTATACATACAAAGACAACAAATCCACATATAACTTATATACATGGATTGATGGACATAAGCTCTTAAATGCGCACATGCATGCACGTGATGGTAGCGTAATTGTTATTAAAGACATTGAACATACCATCCAAGTTTTAGTTATTGTTTATATGTGGAATTTTCATGTTCTATCTTACTTTCCATTAAGCACTCAATTTTTATAGACATCTTACATTCTTTTCTTGTCTTCTTTGTTTAGCCGCTTGCATGTCATCATTTATTATTGGTAGGGGTAATGAAGATGGAAACCATGCTTTTCATCAAATGAAAGAGGTATATTAGGTTGTGTCCCAATTATATTTTATTTTTATTTCTTTTCATTATTTTGAACATTCAAGACAAAAATTCTTTATGATATGCATAGAATAATGCCTAATAGATTGTGTTCTATTATAGTCTTATAAAAATTTCATTTCACTTTCAACATTATCATGTAAACTATAAATAGAATAATGCTTTTGTTCTTTATATTTTTGTAATTAGAACTTATAAATAATTTTGTAAAAAAATACTATATTTTTTTATAAATGAAATGGAATGTTTTAATTACTTATTTCTTTTATATATGTATATTTTAGTATTCATATAATTACTTTAAAAATAAATTTAAAAATATAATAAAATGATAAAATAATTATAAAATAATAATTAAATATGATTTAAAAATATTATTACCGACATATTTACTAATGGAAAAAACCCATTACCAACAGATTTACATACGGTTTAACTAATAGAAAATTTCATAACTACTTACAAACGAAAAATTCTATAGGAAAGTCTGTCGCTAATAAATCCATAGGTAAATAGACGAATTTGAAGCATTATCAATGGAATAGCATTTTCAACATAACTAGCACTGATGAAATTTTTCTGTCAATAAAATTGTGTTAGAAGTATTATCAACAAATTTTAAGCTTTTATCGATAGAATTTTTCTTCAGTAAAGCTTAATTTTTACTAATGGAAAAAACCCATTACCAACAGATTTACATACGGTTTAACTAATAGAAAATTTCATAACTACTTACAAACGAAAAATTCTATAGGAAAGTCTATCGCTAATAAATCCATAGGTAATTATAGATGAATTTGAAGCATTATCAACGGAATAGCATTTTCAACATAACTAGCACTGATGAAATTTTTCTGTCAATAAAATTGTGTTAGAAGTATTATCAACAAATTTTAAGCTTTTATCGATAGAATTTTTCTTCAGTA